GAGGGAAGTTACATTGAAGGGACATTAAGTTTTCACGCAGCCAAGTTTGAACAGTTGGAACATTTGTCTGGTTTGCTGTCAGTTGATTTGTTTCATCCATCTGCAAGGGCTTTGGCATCAACTTTGTCACAGATGTTTCTCTTAAAATTCCTTAAGAGACACAAAGTAGACACAAATGAGTCAAATGTTGAAATACAGTTAGTTTATACAAATATAAAATTAATATGCAAAGAAGCATAGTGTTTGATGAGAAATGTTTGAGTTTATATTGAGATCACTGACTTTTAATTGCAGGCTTTGGTGCCTCGGAAAATCTGTAGCAATATCTTCATCAATTTGAAACGTTGAGATCTCTTCTGAAACTCTAGGAGATGTATGTCAGTATTGGGTCTTTCTTAGAAGAAAACGTCTCAATTCCTCTCTATCTTGATGTATAGGAGAAGCAACTGAGATGTTACAAAGATTATTACAAACATAACTTTTAAGGTTTATTTTTGAATTCATTAGTATCTGTCATAAGCTGTCTAAACGTCACCAAAATTTAAATTAAAAAATAAAAATATTTTGCATAAGCAAAGCCTATTTTGCTATTTTAAAGCCTTACAATTTTTTAAATACATTAAGTAAATTAAATACATTAGGTCTAGTAATTTTGACCCTGATAGGATTTTTTCCCCAAAAAGGCTCACAAAGGGTATAACAACTTTCCAAATGTTTTTTTTTTTTTTTTTACGGTCCTGGTCACAATATATAGGCTAGTTATGCTAAACTGTTACTAAATATTGGATTCAATCTTTATAGAAACTTTGTTTTTTTTAATTAGCACAGGTTTTGTATTTCTTTTTGATCATACGCCTCTTTGATTGAGGTTTTGATTGTATGTTGCCAAATCTATGAAGACTTGTGCAATTTGAAAGAAAACAAGTTGACAAAAATATTAAATCCAAGATTTGGTGATTTTTAGAAGACATTTATAAAAGGAATACCAAATTAGATAAAGGATTTTCAGCACAGCACAATGGTTAAGTACTTGTTCTCATTACAAATAATGTGATTTAAATGTACATTTGCAAATGAAACATTTTACTGTAAAACTGTACGTTTACACATCTAAGTAGTATTGTAAATTAGTATTAGTATTAGTGTCACTGGGATTTTCATGTAATTATTTGGGAAATTGGTTGAAAAAAAAGAGAGAAATTAATGTTTTTCCAGAATAGCAAAGCAGACACAGAAATAAACAAATCTATGTTTTCTTATTTAAGTAGCATATTCATGTTATTTAGGCTGGATCAGAGTGAAGTATCTATCATTCTGTAGACTATTACATTGATTTAAATCTTCCCTCGTTCTGAGCTGACAAGCATAGAAATGAGATCTATGTCTGCTATCTGTGTACTCTGCCAAATGCTAATGAGATTGTGTTGGACATGACAGAGAGCTTAACTCATCTCTTGATGGTTGACATTAAAACACACTCAAATTACCTGGTCTTAGGTCCAGTTAAATCTTTGTTGTTTTTCTTCCATTTTTCAGATTGATACTTTAATTTGGGATGAGACTTCGGATGAAGATTGAGCTGTGTTTTGTATCGAGTTTTCATTATTTGTGCTTAATTTTAGTGAAATGTCAGCCCAGTGTGTTGATTAGCACTCCTGCGACCTTGGCTATCAGACAAACGCCAGCGGCTCGGTTTGTGAATATTAAACAGGTCGGTCTAAATGGATCTCCAAACACTGTTCCACAGTCTCTCAGCTTGAATTATTAATGATGGAAGTTTATTGACCTGCATGAATCCATCAAATGCATGATTAGAAATGTCATCATTCTTTGCCATACAGGCCATACATTTGTTAAAACATTAGCTTTTAAAAATAACATATTTTTCTTAGAGTAAAAAAAAACAAAATTTTGTGTTAATTTGTTGCCTTGTGAATCACTACAAGAGTGTGTTCCTTACTTTCAACAGTAATCGAATCTCACCTTTTCCTTCAGCCAACTTTCAAGCTCAATGATCCTGTAGAAAAGAAAATCCCCCTAATAGCTCAATTGTTTCTCCTTGACAGAAATTAGATTAAATTGAGAGCAAATGTAAATTGAGAGTAATTTTTTGCTGAAGTCTTCTGGTCCTCAGGAAAAATTACCCAAGTAATCTCCTCTAGAGTTTCAACTATGTCTCAAACCATGTTCACTTCTGCCAAGATACCAGCGTTTGCAATCACATTTCAGATCTTGATATGAACACAACACTTCTAATCCAATTCTTCCCAGATCGAATGATCTGAACTGCTACTCATGTTCATTTTATGCCTCTATACACTTACTGTATGTCAATCTATTTTCACTTTTTTTCTAAGGAATCATATGAGAAACATCAGAGACAAAGTTGATACTTAAAGGAAACAAAACTGAGAACCCAGTCATGTCTGGTGTGTGATGAAAGTTTTGAGCAATAAAATATTTATCTGTGATTAAATAAATATCAAAGATCAAAGACATTTCATGGACATTTCATAAAAAAAGACATGCACTTATGACATGTTAAATAAAAGTCCAAATTATAAAATCTGTATCTTTCTAACATCAAACACTAAAAAAGGTTTGAGTGGATCCTCACAGACCCTTTGAGCTTTTTCTCTCACAGTTCTCACTGCAAAAACTGATTTTCTCAGCATTTTTGTCTTTCCAGTACAAAGCATAAAGATACATTTACTTAAGAAACAAAAAGACAAAAATATCAGAATAAAGTAAACTAATGCTTAAAACATCTTATCAACATATCTATCAGTATTTGTCAGTGGGGTAAGAAAAAATAACTTATATTCAAGATATTTTTTCTTACTCCGCCTACATTTTTTTTTTCTCATTTTAAGCATAAACTTGTGTAATTTTCATAATTTTTTAAGAAACAAGACTTTTCCAGAAACAAGTCATTTTCCTTCTAAAGTATCCTGATTTTAAAATTTTGAGAAATTTGTAATGGAAAACAAGACCAAAAAAAGAAGAAGAAATCATTTTTGCACTGCTTGGCTTCCACTCTCCTGCATGTGAAGCTTAAATCAATGCTGGAACATCGTCTTGGTTTATTGCACAGGATTGTGCAGTTTTGTGAGCATCCCCTGTTTTATTAAAAAGTGCAAATGAATAAGTGGCCGCGTAACTGTGTATTTCCCCAATGTTGTTATCATATGTCTTTAAATGATGCTGACACAATGGCAGGACCGGATATGCCGTTGGCTCCAAGCGGTGAGTCGTGATTTATTATCCACTTTGTGCTGACAGCTCGTTTTCTTTCCTCTCTTTCCAGGTCGTGTCAGAAGAGCAGGCGAGGATGAAACTGAAGCCCAGTAAAAGAGATTCCCCCTGGGGGAGCCATAGACAGATGTGGAGCCCCTGGAGCCACTGACCCCATATCCGGATGATCTATGGATGGAGACCACCATGCCTCAAGAGTCAATCTTCCACTGCTGAGCAATTCCACATTGGCAGACGCAAACAAATGTTGCTCGGTAATTGCTGAGTATCTACAGTCTGAACGTTCAGTTCCTATGCTCGATTTTCTCGGTTACCTTCCTGTTACGAGAAAAATAACCTACCACAACTGTACTTAGCCTGGAGAACTCTGACCCACAATCCAGCAAATGCATGCAAAGCTTCCGGGAAAGCCCATGTATCCTCACATCACCTTCCAATCGCATGACCGTGAAAGAGGAAAGTTATGGCGTCTCATTAAGAATGCTGAGGTCGGGCAGGCGTGCGGTCTAACAGGATCAATACAACCTCACTGATTTATGGGCAGATTTCTCTTCCATTTAGTGCGCTGGGCAAGAATCATCTGCCAAGACCAAGATTGTGAAACCAAGTCCCTTCGGTCCTTTAAGAATTGCATTTCCATTGCAAAGTAGCCCTGCTCTAGACCTTTTTGGCTCTTTGTATCATTTAAGACTATTTCTTCAGATTTACAATCAATACGACTCTTGCAATACAGTGTGAATTAAACTGTCAGTCGGAAGCAATTGGCTTTTTAGTAGGATAAGTTCTTTTTACTTTGTTCCTGGTTCAAGTTTACGAAATATTGGAAATGCAAATGCCTTCAAAATTCACAGAACTGGGTTGAAAAAGCAGCACCTCCAACCAGTGAAGCTTGACCCTGCTGATTAATAGGCCAAGTCTGACCAAGACTGTGAAACAGGTCTCTTTGGTTTTCAAAAGTTGCATTTCTATTGAAACGTAATTCTGCTTTAGACCTTTTTTGAAACTTTGTATCATTTTACACTATTTCTTCAGATTTACAGTTAATCTGAGAATAATCATCTGCCAAAACCAAGACTGTAAAATGGGTCTCTTTGTTCGCAAAGCAGTGAATCAAACTGTCAATTGGAAGCAACTGCTTTTTTGGTAAAATAAGTTATTTTTACTTTGTTCCTGCATCAAGTTTACAAAACATTGGAAATATAAATGCCTTCAAATTTAGCAGAACTGGGTTGAAAAGGCAGCCACTCCAACCAGCACATTAAAGCTTGACCCTGTTGATTAATGGGCAGATTTCTCTTCCATTTAATGCATCAGGGAAGAACTATCTGCCAAGACCAAGACTGTGAAACAGGTCTCTTCGGTTTTCAAGAGTGGCATTTCTATTGAAAAAGTAATCCTGCTCTGAACCTTTTTTGGAACTTTGTATAATTTAGCACGGCTTCTTCAGATTTACAATCAATCAGAGAAGAATCATTTGCAGAGATCAAGATCGTGAAACTAGGTCTCTTCAGTCTTCAAGAGTTGCATTTCCATTGCAAAGTAGCCCTACTGTATACCTTTTTTGGCCCTTTGTACCATTTAACGCTATTCCTTCAGATTTACAGTCAATACAACCCTAGCAAAGCAGTGTGAATCAAACTGTCAGTTGGGAGAAATTGGCTTTTTGGTAGAGTAATTTCTTTTTACTTTGTTCCTGGGTCAAGTTTACGAAATATAGGAAATGCGAATGCCTTCAAAGGGTTGAAAAACAATCACTCCAACCAGTCCTGCAAAGCTCGACCTGCAACTTCAAGAGTCCTTCAAACCCAAGTGCAACAGAGTGGATGACATTGCTGTGAGTGAGTGCATGCGGTGGTGGCCCTCAGCATGGTGTTGCCACCACCGGACAAGCGGCATGTGTGTCTTACCACCTTTGTCATCATGACCAGCATGGCCTTCATGGATGCCTACCTGGTGGAGCAGAATCAGGGGCCACGAAAGATCGGCGTCTGCATCATTGTCCTTGTTGGGGATGTCTGCTTTCTTATTGTCCTCCGGTATGTGGCTGTTTGGGTTGGAGCAGAAGTGCGTACGGCTCGAAGAGGATACGCCATGATCCTTTGGTTCCTCTATATCTTCGTGCTGGAGATCAAGCTTTACTTTGTCTTCCAGAACTGTAAGGCTGATCGCAAAAGTCTGGAGACTGTCGCCCGGAAGGCTTTGACTTTATTGTTGTCCATTTGTGTGCCAGGCCTCTACCTGGTTCTGGTGGCTCTGGACAGCATGGAATATGTCCGTACCTTTCGGAGGAAGGAGGACATGAGGGGTCGGCTCTTCTGGGTGGCTTTGGACTTGCTGGACCTGCTGGATATGCAGGCAAACCTTTGGGAGCCGCAGCGGACGGGTTTGCCCATTTGGGCGGAAGGTTTGATGTTCTTCTACTGCTACATTTTGCTTCTGATTCTTCCCTGCGTGTCCCTGAGCGAGATCAGCGTGCAGGGTGACCACGTGTCCCCTCAGAAGATGATGCTCTATCCTCTTCTCAGTCTGGTCACCATTAACATCGTCACCATCATCATACGTGGCGTCAACATGGTGCTCTTCCAGGACAGCCGGGTTTCCACCATCTTTGTTGGCAAAAACGTGGTGGCCATTGCAACCAAGGCATGCACCTTTCTCGAGTACCGGAAACAGTCACGTGAATTCCCAAATCGAGAGAACGCAACTGGAATTCCCATGGAAGTCCAGCAGAACTCGGTGGGACATGGACAAGCGCTTCCGAATGCTACGAGCCTCCCACATGAACCCACTCCAGCACGGGAGATTATGGATACATAACCAAGGAACCAAAATGAAGGATTTTGTTTGACTTGGGGCCAACAAGAAGCATTTGAACCACCAGATAAGAACTGATTAACTGTTTTGGGGTCCAGAATTATGAGGTGCTGCATCCTGTTGTGGACAGAGGTAAGTCAGCCAAATATGAGCTGTGTTGTTCAAAGAAAAACATTCAGTGTTTTATCATTCGTTCACCACAGTTGGCAACGAAGAACCAAGTGCTGTTTTCTTTCTGTACAGTAGCAAAATGACTGTGGTGCAAAATACTTGTTTGAGAGACCAAATTGTTTCCATCCACTTTTTTGTGTGTGACTTCCTGTTGTTGAGGTGCATCAGATATTTTCCTCTCTTGCAAGTAATGAATGGGGGAATGGAAAAAGAGTGCAATGAATTTATCATTGAGGGGACTAGTTAGGTCAGGGTGATGTTTATGACCAAATGTTGGGGAGTAGTCCTACATGCCTGCAGTATGTGTTTGCACTTGTGTTTTATGATGTGTTGACATTTAAAGAAATGAGAATAAGAGGAAAAAGTAAGAAATTTGTGTGCGATGACCTTTATGGAATTGTTTAGGAAAAAGTCAGTGAATGCACTACCACTTGGTTGGTATATGGATTATTATTGCTATCATTGTTATTATAATTATTATATATACCACTTGTGTACTTGCTTTTTTACACTTTTGTTTAAGAATTCAGTTTTATTTAATAAAAAATTTGAAAAAAATGTTTTTGTTTTTTTTGACATCTGCAAAGTGTTTTTATGCTAACAGAATTACTAGTCCAGGGTTGCCGAGTCTGCATTCCCGTGGAATTTTTCCCCTGCAAATTAATGGTTTGACATACTGCATAAATTATATTTGAATTTAAATATTTTATATTCTACAAATGATAAAACTGTGGTAGATGTTAAGTTGTTTTGAGCCTTTGAGCTGTCTTTATGATCACTACAATATAGTGGTTTTCAATTTGCATAACAATGACTGATCGAGTTCGGATATGGTCACTGGGCTATTTTTGATTGGCCAACGGGCCAGTTTTGTTATGCAGACCTGGCAACCCCTGTGCTGGCCGACCACCCCACACATGAACAGAGGATCACAGCGTTTCCATCTCAGCCCTTTTTTAAATCAGTTCTTCTATTGTTTGAGTAAACACATCGTGTCTGTGGAAGCGGATGGAAGAGTAAATGGCATCTGGGAAAATGAAATAAATTACGCGTGGCCCCCATCAGCAGGGACTCACCTTTCTAAAGCCACACAGCGTGAAACTGATTCCTAAAACTCTAAGGCCTGGACACTGCGGAATTAAACAGCCTTCCCTCTGTACGCAGTGCGAAACCCATTTACCATCCATGTCTGATTTATTCAGCATATGTAGCGATCTGATGTATTCGATTTCAGCAACATTAATTTATTGCCACCTGCATATATGGTGGGCGGTCTCGGTTGATGTTGACTCACTCCGCTGCGTATTGTGTTTTTTGAGAATTTCTCTACTTTAGCGTCCACCCACTATCTGACAGCATGAATTTCTCTCTATGGTATAATGTTTCAAATGGCAACATACCATATACTTTAATACTATTTAGAAAAAACACAACACTGATTGCATGTTTTTCTGAATCAGAACAGAACAGAAGACACATGCCTCAAAATCATAATAGTCTTTTAGCATTACACGCATGTACACGTGAGAATGACTGTAATTATAATTTCAAGGTGGTCAAGAAGTGCAACACTGAAAACTTTATAATTGTATAAATTCAAATTGTATAAATACTGTAAAAGAAATTGTATAAATACTGCAAAACACATTTGTGCCACACTTACATTTTTGTTCGCTGCATCTTTGACAAGTTAAACATATTCTGTTGTTCACAGATCAACTATTTAAGATAGTTTTAGTGAAAAAATGAGGATCAAAGGCAAAAAGGGTTTTTCAAACATCAAAACAATAAAAGGTTAATAATACAACTTTAATTTTTTTCTCCGTACATTAGAATGGCTCCTGTTTTATTTTTTTCTAAGCAAAAAATAATGACTATCATACATTTATCACCATGATTTACAAAAGACACCCACTAAAATGACATTAAGCGTAACAATAATTAATTTAACAAACATTTTTTAGAACAAGACCAATTTGTATGATCACTTATTTTATATATTTTAAAATATTTTTATATTTTATATATATATATATATATATATGTTATATTTGTTATGCTGTATATGATGATGGAATATTATTTCACCCATATTTTGACATTTTACACAAAAGTTATTTGAAACATTAAAGCAGACACTTTACTTGCATTTAATATGTTTTCTAAGCATGTAAAATCCCTTTTGTAAATGTAATTTGATTCAAACACCAAAATTGGAATAATTACAAAAAAGGAAAGTAACATATTTAATTAATCATGAAATTTCGAAGTATAAAGAATGTGTTTTCTTGCAAAAATCTTTGTCTGCCAATCATTTTATTTTATTTACAACTTTGTTTTTACAGCTTTGCATGAAATAATTTTTGTAGTTTTGCATATATAAATGTATTAAATAAATAGAATTTAATTTAAGGAGAAATTGATACTTAAGCAAAATTATTTTTATTATTTCAATATGGCAATTTACACAAATTTTCAACAACAACAACAACATTAACAACAAAATCTATTTTTGTTATTGGATGTCAGAATCTAATAGGAAAAATATTCCGATGCTAGAATACAATATACCATTAATCTAACAACATTTACATGTCTATTTGTGCGAGACATGGATGCAGCGGCTACATCTGAGTACATATATTACTGTGCAAAAACATTTTTTTTTCTCGATAAATATTTAAGATTCAGTCTTAACCTTCAGCTCAAAACAGCCTATGGTGCGAATACAGCATTACACTATGATCTATAATTCAGTAGTTTGGGTGTTTACCACAGTATTTAATCACATACTGTAAACTGTAAAGAATAATTAGACAAATATATGTGAGTGTGCAAATATTAAGCATGTGGTATTATGAAAAGAATTGAAAGGAATTGTTTTTTGTGCACAATGCTGAGACACGCACTTGTTATCATTCACAGTGAAGAGCAAAGAGATGGAGGAACATCATCTTTCATTCGAAATGCATCAATAAACCCCCGTTCAGATGTCAGCAGCCCCTCAGGCATTCTTACATTTGCTTTACAGCATTAAAGATTCAGCCTCGCTCTAAAACCAGTCAAAGGGTCGCAAGCCTTCAAATGTGTGTTTAGTGCTCAAAAAATGACAAAGGGAGAAAGATGGTAATACTTGACTTGAGGCCTGTATATATAATGCATTAGAAAAAAGTATTCTCAATGCATGATAAGTACGTTCGCATTGCATTTCATCATCTTTTCACTGCAAATGTAACCGGTTCCACTTTCAAAAGAGCCTAAAGCATTACAGCACAGGATTAAAGAAATGATACTGGGTGTCAATCATGTGTTTTAATAGATTAAACTCTTTATAAAAGCAAGTACTGTATTGCATAGGTTACTTCTGGCAAAGGAAACCTGAAAATATCAGAAAATTTATTTATTTATTTATTTATTTATGTGTCATTATACACACAAACACACACAAAGAAAAACAAGTAGATAGAATAGAAAAAATAGAAAGCTAGTGCTTGTTAGTTTTTTGTTGTTGTTGTTTTTTTTTAATAAAAAATAAAAAAAGAAGATAATATAGATAAAGTAGAATTAAAATAGAATAGAAAGTGCTAGAGTTAGAGGGTCAAATAAAGATGGAACAGATGTGTTTTTAGTCATTTCTTGAAGAAGGCTAAGGACTCAGCTGCTCGGATTGAGTTGGGTCATTCCACCAGGAGGGAACAGTTAATGAAAAACTTTTTACTGTGGTTTTTACTTAAAAGTAAAAATTTATGAAATTTAAATTATGATTTGTATTTAATTAAATGAATTGAATATACAGTATGAATCCGTGTTATTTTAGTGCACTTTGATATACTTTTTAAATTATTTTTAATTCATTAAAAAAAAAAAAAAATATTTTAGATTTTGTTAAAGTTTTAGTAATTTTGTTGTTTTTTTGTAAATAGTTTTAGCTATTTTAGTACATAAAGTTAAACTAAAAAGTATTTTTATTCTATAATTATTTTAAATTGTAGTTTTAATTTGAGTTAGAATTAAGTATAATAACCCTGAGATGCATAACATTTTTAAAAGTAATGATTAAAAAAGACATTTCTATAGTAATATATATGTGTGTGTGCGTGCGTGTGTGCATGTGATTTTAGTATCATCATAGTTTTATTAATATTTTTAATTATTTTATTTTTTTTATATTTCCCATTTTCATTTTAAATGTTGTTGAAGTTTTAGTCATTTTGTAGTTTTTGTAATTTTATTCGTTTTTTAAATGTCTATATAGTTTGTATTTTCAGAACTTTTTAGTTATTACAGTACTTAAACTAAAATACTTTTATTTAAATTTTTTATATTTAAATTTGTAGTTTTAATTTTAGTTTCAATTCATTATAATAACCCTGATATGCATACAATGATTTTAAAATCATGATTGAAAAAGGACATATTTATATAAAAGTTGATTGCAAACTATATGATTTTTAATCCTGTAATCCAGACTAACCAAGTAATCCTAAATTACATTTTTAAAATTGTGATTTCCAAGCCATATTAAATCAGATGAATATATGCATAATCTTTTTTTAAAAATCATGATTAAAATCAGAATCAGAATCAGAATGAGCTTTATTGCCAGGTATGTTTACACATACGAGGAATTTGTTTTCGTGACAGAAGCTTCCACAGTGTAACAGAATGACAGTGACAGAACAAAAAACACAGATAATAAAAAATAAAAATAAATAAAAAATAGAACAAGTAAATAAGGAATACAAATATACAAATCGACAATTGTATATACAGGTATATAACAATAGACAGTTGTATGTACAGGTATATTATGTGCAAATTGAAATGTAGACTGAGTATGTTTGTTAGATAAATAAGTGTATGAGTGAATAAATAGTGTGTGTT